GATTGCATGGCTCATTTCCGAGGAGTCGCGCAGCGCGCCTAGATCTTGAAGGGTGCCACCTTCTTCAGCCACTACTGGAGGGCGCGGGGCCACGTCGCGCCGGGGCCCCGGATTTCTTGATCCCAGGTCAAGGCCCATCGTACTCTAGACGACGCGTTCTCTGAGCAAGGCCGCGTCTGAATCCTCGTAGCTAGAATGGCACGCGATGTAATGAGACAACATCGCGGGGGCGCATGGTTTGACCCTGCTGCTCGTTTAGACACCGCCCCCGCTATCTTCATGTTTCTGGCGTTCGCGACTGGTGCGGGACGGGTGCATGCTAGCGGGCCCTTTCACGAGAGTACTTTGGCCCCCTGCCCGAAGCCCCTCGCGCGCCCCTCCCCGCCCCGTTGCCCCCCCCAAGCCCCTGCCTGGGCAGGCCAGGGCCATCGCTGCACCTCGCGTTCAAAGCGCATCGCCTCTTACTGCTGTCGTCGTTGCCCAGGGGGCGGGGGGAGGCAGGAGGAGCGAGGAGGAGGGAGGAGGAGGGGAGCGGGGCGGAGGAGGGAGGGGGGGGAAGGATGGGGGGCGAGGAGGAAGGAGTGGACAACGGAGGAGGGAAGAGGAGGAGGGAATAGAAGCGAGGATGGCGTCCGGGTGCCACTGCGCGGCCGCGGTCCCGTGAGGATCTCCGATGCGGTTTGCCATCGAACGCGCTCAGCTGCCTTCGCCAAGTCAGGCTACGCGGTCTCAATTGTCCTGAACCAGACGGCACTAGTTGTCTCAGTTTGTCTCAAAGTTTCTCACCAAGCGAACCTTTCTGTCTCAATTTCTCTCAATTTGGGTCGTCCCCGGGATATTATATCTCAATTTCTCTCAATTCCTCTCAACATCTCTCAAATATTCTCAATTCCTCTCAATATAGCTTACCATGAGAAAGCGCTACTACACAACAGCATCTTGATGGGCCGTTGCTCTCTCAAAACACCTTTTCGCGACGTCCCTGGGAATGCCCTCGGCTCCCCGACCCGCTTCCTTGCCTCTCGAGGTAATCGAGGATAGGGCCCCCCGTCCACCCTCTCCCTCCCTGCCTTGACTCCATCCTCTCCCTCCCCGCCTTGACTCTCCATCCCTCCCTACATCACTCCCCCCTTCCCTCCCCTTCCCTTCCTGCCTCCCCCCTTCCCTCCCTCCGTCCCTCTCCCCCCCCCTCCCCCTCGTCGTCGTCGTCGTCGCGGCGGCGGTTGGCCGGCGCCCGCTCCTCTTGCCCCCTGGGCCCGCTGCTCGGGGGAGGGCGGGCTCCCCGAAGCGCCGGTGGGAAGCTCTTCGGCGTGGCCCCGTCGGAGGCCTCCAGCGCTCCTCCTAGGGCCGTCCCTGGAGTCCTTGGCAGTCATGCGAGGTCTTCGGCGCATGTCCGAAGCCTCTGCAGGTTGTCGGCCGCCCCTGGAGGCTCTCGGAAGCCCCGAGCCTTTCCAGGGTCCTCGGGACCCTTGGAAGCCGCCAGGGCTCGCGGTCCTGGTGATCGTCTTGGGGGCCGGTGGGTTTCGGGGGGCTTCGGCTGCCTCTGGCGGCTTTCGGTGGTCTCCGGGAATCCCCCTCGCGATCCTCGGAGGTCCATGGCAGCCCTCGGAGACCCTCTGTGGTCCCTGGCGTCTGCTTGGGCTCTTCGGGGGTCGCCGGGGATGTCTGGAAGCCCTTGGATGCCTCGGGGGGCTCGTCCTCCGGGGGGCTTGCAAAGTGCAAACGCACAAACGTATGCGCATGTGCGTGTGCAAATACAGATGCACATGCCGAAATAATGATGATCAGGATTTGTGGTACGTTGTGCGTTGCAGGAACGATGCGTTGCTGTCGTCATTTTGCAACTGGTTTATGCTTGCAGGCGCAGTGGACTTGGGGATACCGCCAAGGGGTCCGATCAGGCTTCTGGCGGCGGTTCGCTTGTGTAAATGTACGAAACCTCTGCGTCGTTATATATGTTGCGCTGTTGTGTGATTGCACCGAAATATTGTTGCAAAGCGCCCATTCTACAGACCCGCTGCGTCGAAGTGGCCTCGCGTGGCGGCCCTCCTCCATAGCGGCATCCATGGGCGTTGCGCATTGTTGCGCAGCCGCGTGCGTTCGGTTGTGTTTTGAGCGTGTTTGGTTGTGTTTTGAACACCCCTTGGCTCACTCAGCGGCGGTTTGATCGCCCCCCCCGTCTCCGCCACCCCCATGTGGATCTGAAGGACGTAAGGCGATCCCTGTCGCCCTCTGGGAGCTGAGTGAAGCCCACCATCGCCGTAGCTGGTGGTAGGGGGCCATCATGTGGAACCACTTCCTGCCCGCGTGCGCCCGGGGCCCCGCGGATGGTGTCACGACGCCTGCCACGCGCCACTCGCCCGCCTCAAAACCTCCCATGCAGCGGGTGCAGTGAGCCTTCTTGCCGCGAGCCGCCTGGGCGCTGACACGCCAACGGGTGATTCGCCCGCCCGTCATGCGGCGCCGCCGCTGTGCTGGCTGGCCCTCACTGTCACGCATGTGGACGTCGGTGTTGCCAGCCACGGGGATGTCGGCTGCGTTCACGCCAGCCGACGCGGGAGCGGCAGCGGAGGCGCACGGGGCTACCCCAGCACCTCCGCTGCCTCCCGCGGCTGACAGCACTCCGCCTTCGCCTCGAGCCGCAGCGGCGTTACTCCCAGCCACTCGAGCCCCTGCACCTGCGTCCGCGGCGCCGCCAGCGGCCGCCGCCATCCCAGGACGTCCCTTCAGGGCAAGGAAGAGTGTTCGTAACAGTGGGGGCGCGAGAAAAGGAAGGGTGACTGTCACCCGCGGTTTGAGGGCAGCAGTAGCCCCCCCGCCCACAGGCTCCCCAGAGCTTCCGGGGGACTACTACTACTACTACTACTACTACTACTACTACTACTACTACTACTACTACTACTACTACTACTACTACTACTACGACTCGACTACGACTACGACTACGACTACGACTACGACTACGACTACACTACGACTACTACTACTACTACTACTAACTACTACTACTACCACTACTACTACTACTACTCTACTACTACTACTACTACTACTACTACTACTACTACTACTACTACTACTACTACTACGACTACACTACTACTACCACTACTACTACTAACCACTACTACTACTACTACTACTACTACTACTACTACTACTACGACTACTACTACGACTACTACGACTACTACTACTACTACTACTACTACTACTACTACCACTACTTCTACTAGTACTACGACTACTTCTACTACTACTACTACTACTACTACTACTAATACTACTACTACTACTGCTACTATTACTACTACTACTACTACTACTAGTACTACTACTACTACTATTACTACTACTACTATTACTACTACTACTACTACTACTACTACTACTACTACTACTACTACTACTACTACGACTACTACTGCGACTACTACGTTGGTTCCAGGTGGGAGTTACTGTGGCCACTTCTGCCTGCGCGGGAACGCATTTCCTTAAGGTTTGCAGATCTCTTCAGATTTCACATGATATACCTTTACTGTACATAGTACTTTTCAGTGAACGGCCAGCGCGGGCCACAGTAACTCCCATCCGGCCGCGCGACGGGCCTCACTAACACCCACCAAGCCATGCTAACACCCAACGGGCCACAATAACAACCGGTCGCCCAGGCCGCCCCCCCACCACCCCTCCCGGCCCCCCCCTCGGCACCCCTCCCCGGCACCCCCCCATGGCACTCCCCCCTCGGCACCCTTCCCGGGCCCCCTCCCTGCCCCCCCCGCCCCCCGGCACCCCTCCCGGCCCCCCCCCCGGCACCTCCACCTGGCACCCCCCCGGGCACCCCTCCGGGGCACCCATCCCCCGGCACCCCCCCCCGGCACCCCCTCGCCCGCTCGGCCCCCCCCCCCGGCCCCCCCCCCCCGGCACCCCTCCCGGCACCCCCCCTGGCCCCCCCCCCTGGCACCCTCCCCGGCACCCCCCCCCAATCCAATCCTTGTCCTGCTCCTCCTTGTCCTGTTCCTCCCTCGTCTCCTCCGCAGCGAACTGGGCGGAACCGGCCGGAGCGAAACGCATGGCGAACTGGGCCGAACCGGACGCCCCCCCTGACAATGACGAATCGAACCGAACCGAACCGGAAAATTCCGACGCCGAACCGAACCGAACCGAACCGAACCGGACCACGTCGGAACCTAACCGAACCGAACCGAACCGGACCCTTCCTGTCTTCTGGAAGAAACGCAGCAACGTGGACTTCTGGAGCGCCTGCAGGGGCATACTGTCAACTACTGTCTCGTCACCGTGAGGTTGCTGAGCGTGCCCCCGAGCTGCTCCACGCACGCTCCGAGAAGGGCAGGGTCGAAGCCGTCCATGTCCGCGATCGAGGAGACTATAAAAGAGGGCCGCGTGTCTGCCGCGCGCGCCCTGAGGGCGTGCGTTCGGTCGCAGCGCCGTCCAGGTCACCCCCCAGCGCCGAGGCCGCCGCAGCCGCAGGTTCGACGCCGTCGAACCAGCCCATCGCCCCAGATGCTGCGGCACTGCCCAAAGTCAAAATCACTCAAGTGACCGAGAGCACGGAGGTGAGCTCGGAGGCGGAACTTAAGCCAAAATGGCTACGGGCACGCGAGCGCCATGTGACTCCGTGCATCCGCTCCGCTCCTGCCCCCCTCCTCAATCATCTCCCCCTCCTCCCCACTCATCCTCAACATCTTCTCCTGCTCATCGTCCGACCCATCCGCCAGCTCCCTTTTCTCGTCTCCAGCGTACACCCTCTTCTGATTGTGCATGATACGATGGTGTCCTTTTGACGGTTCCAGGTCCGCTATGGCACCCGTCGGCAAATAAATAAAATATCAGCGACATGCAAAGAGACGGGTGGGAGGGGTCGGATGTCAGATATGGCGCGAGCGCACCTAGCTTCTCCTCACCCATCTCCTCACCGCCCCCCTGCCCTAACCCACTCCTCGCTCCCGCCGGGGGCCAGCTAACACCAAGCCCCTGACGCGTCCCAGACCCCGACAGTCACGTGGTCGCACGCCTGGCCGCTGGTCGAGGCGGGGCGGCAGGGAGGAGGGGGAGAAGAACAGGAGGAGAGTAGAAGGGAAGAGGAAGGATGGAGGATGGGAAAGCAGAACTTGATGAAAAACAGTAGGAGGAGAAGGGAGAAGAAATGAGAAAACAGGGGCGAAGGAAGGAGGCGAAAGGAAGGAGGGAGGAGGGGGGCAAGAGGGGCGAGGGAGAGGGGGGAGGAAAGAAAGGGGGAGGAGAAGAGAAGCAAGGGCAAGAGGGGAAGACGACATAATAGATTATATGCCACGGCGAACAGAAAAAAAAACAAGAAGCCGGGAAAGCTGGAATCTCAAAATCCAACCAGCGCTCGGGGCGCTGGTGGTCTAGTGGGTCCTTTCTTCTGTTCTCCACTCCACTCCCCGTTGGGGAAAGGCTAACCCTTCCCAGCCCTGCCCGACCCGATATGATTGACTCTCTGGGGACGTCCTGGGAACCCAAATGCCCGACGTCGTGAATGTGTTACAACGTGGCTCCCCAAAGGTCTGGACCTCTTCCTGGGGGCCGGTCTTCATGTGAAATAATTGTTTGACGGCCTTCGGGCCCGGCAAAGCCCCCAGAAAGTTAAATGAAGCGAATGCCTCTCGTTGTTGTTTTGTACGACGCAAGCATGTCAGGGAGGGATGGGGGGAGGGAGGTGGTGATGACGATGCTGCTACTGGTGGTGGTGAAGAAGAAGATGATGATGATGATGATGATGATGGTGGTGGTGATGATGGTAATGACTAGGATGGTGAGGATGATGATGATGATGACGACGGTAATTAAGCATACTGATGCTGATGATGATGATAATAACAATGATGGTGTTGCTGTTGATGTTACGGCTGCTGACTATGGTGCTGGTGATTGTGTGGTGATGATCTGATGGTGCTGGTGGTGGTGGTGATGATGACGGTGATAAGGATGATGGTGATGATGATGACGATGATGCTGCTGATGATGATGATGCTGATGCTGATGGTGACGACGATGCTGATGACATAATGATGACGATGATGGTGATTTCTCCCATGGAGATTTGCAATACCGGAGTGCTGCCAAAGCAGACGGTGCGAACTCGCTATCGTATTATCAATCGACCAGTGACGGAGAAGCAAGCTGGCAGTTCAAGGCTCTCTAGCTTCGGGGCGGGCAAAAGGGCGACGAGGGAACGAGGGAGAAGGGCGGGAAGGCGAGGCCGACGGGGAAGCGACGACGAGTCCAAAGCGCAGAGACGACAAAGCGGGAGGAAGGACAAGAGAGATTAGGCGAGAGACCGAGGAGACACCATGAAAAAGAAGCAAACAAAAGAGAAACACAATTGAGCGAACCCTAAATAATTACAGCCCGCAGTGCAAAGTCAGTGAACGCGGAAGGCGAAGACGAAATTGTCAGTGAATATGGGGGTCCAAAGATCAGAGAGAGCGTGATCCACCGCCGCTTTACTGTCAAAAATTCCCCCCCTCTTCCTCCGGAACCCGGGGGTACCCCCCCCCGTCCGAAAATCCCCCCCCCCCTGCTGGACCCCCCCCCCTCCCTCCCCCGGCAAACCCCCCCCTCCCCTACCCCCCCCCCCTCCCCCTCGAAAACCGGGGGGGTCACTACCGGTTCGAACCCCCCCCCCTTGAAAACCGGAGAGGGGTCACTATAGGTTCGAACCCCTCCCCCCCCCCCCACTCACCGCCAGCAAACGACTCCCGGTCCCTACCACCGTCCGCACCACATCCCCCACTGTTGTTCCCAGCACCACTGTCCTCACCACCACTGTCCCCACTGGTTCCACCACCGTCCCTACTGTCCCCACCAGTGCCCCCACCACTGTCGCACTGTCCCCACTGTCCCCACCACTGTTCCCACCACGGTTCCACTCTCCCCACTTTCTCCACGGCCCCAACCACTGCCCGACTATCCGCAATGTTCCCACTGTCCCACTGACTCCTCCGCTGTCCCACTGAACTGTCCCACTGTTCCCACCACTGTCCCCACTGTCCCCACCACTGTCCCCACTGCACCTCTGTCCCATTGTCCCACCGCCGTCCTCGCCACCGCCTTCACCACTCTCCCCACCACCACTGTACACTCCACTGTCCCACTGTTTCCACCACATTCCCACTGTCCCCACACCACTGTCCCCACCACCACCGTCCCCACCACTGTCCCACTGTCCCCACAGTTCCCACCATTGTCCTCACCACTGTCCCCACCACCACCGTCCCCACCACTGTCCGCACCTCCCCCTGGTTTTCGAGGGGGGGGGGGTTCGAACCGGTAGTGACCCCCCCCCGGTTTTCGAGAGGGGGGGGGAGGTTCGAACCGGTACTGACCCCCCCCCCTTTTCATGGGGGCGGGAGAGGTTCGAACCGGTAGTGACCCCCCCCGGTTTTCCGGAGGGGGGGGGGTTCGAACCGGTAGTGACCCCCCCCGGTTTTCCGCCAGCAGCGGTAGAACAAGCTCTTTCAAATATCAAGGTGCTGAGCCTGGACCAACGAACCGCAAGAAGGCTGGCGTCCCAGGCGCCTCTGGCCATGCTGGGGCAGACGGACCGCAAGGAGGCCTGCACCCAGTGCCAGGGTCCAGCGAACAGGTGCACACGGACCGCAAAGAGGCCTGCGACCAAGACTGGTCGCGCAACCGGCCCACACGGGCAATTTTGCACTCAATTCATACGCGGCTCAAGCTCAATGATCGCCGCGCAGGCCTGCACGTCATTGCCGTTAGCTCCGAGTGCCTCCACAGCTCCGTCCCGCGAGCATTGCATCTGGGACATGATCAGCTCAATCGTCACCTCCTCAGACGCCGCCAAACTGCGTAGGTTCTCAGGCTTGAGAGGCCAAGCCGTGCTGTTCCCAACAAGTACCTGCCATCGACCCTTGCCTTCATCAAAAGCAACCACGGTGCCCTTCCGCTCGTTGAGTTCAGGCCTCGCCTGCAGCCGCACCAAGCTGACCAATGACCCTTTTGCGTAATTGGAGGATCCCCCGATGCAGCCGCCGCGGATGTATGCATGGCCTCCCTGGGTGGCCCTCCTTGTCCTGGTCCTGGAGCGTGGCTTTCATGTTGTGGAAGCTTTCGCGGGCCTCCATGTCCCTCGTGGTGATCTCACCCTCCAACATCGCTTCGAATATATACATGCTTCCGGGCAGGCGCATCACCAGGTGCAGCCTGGACTGCTTCCAGGCGCTGCGGTCTGACAGGGTCTGGCTGCCCCCCAGCAGCTTCCAAACGAAGATCGGCCACTGCTTGTCCCGAGGGGGGCCCCGCTTCTCCAGGAACGTGGCGTTCATGCTGTCGATGGTATCGTTGGCCCCCATGACCCACGTGATGGTCTCGCCGTCCATCGTCGGCGCGAAGGTCTCTTTGCCTCCGAGCGGGCACGGCACCAGGTGCAGCGTCGACTCCTTGCGCATCCGCCTGTGCCTCACCGCCAGCCGCCTCAACCCCTCCATCCTCCTCCTCGTCCTGTGGTGTCAGGGCCCAGCCAACCTCCAGCGACGTCCGGACGAAGATCAGACGCTGGTGGTCGAGAGGACTGCCTTGTCCCAGATCGTGGCTTTCACGCTGTTGAGAGTGTCATTGGCGTCCACGTCCCAGGTGATGATCCCGCCCTCCAGCGTCGTCTCAAGAATCTGCATGCCTCCAAGCCTGTGTAGCACCAAAAGCAACGTCGACTTCTGCTGGATGCTTGGACCAGACATCGTCCGCCCGTCCTCCAGCGTCGCCTGGGCGAAGATGTGGCGCTGCGGATCCAGGGGGGATGCCCACCATGTCCTGGGAATGACACGTGCTTCATCATGCTCTCCAGAAGATTATACATACCGCACTTCTTTTCTGAGATCCATACACCTCCAGCACCGAAGTTTGCACTCCAGCTTGCTGAATAAACAACACTGGCTACAGAGAGACGGTGTGGCAAGACTCCTGCCGCACACCCTCAAGTTCTTGCTTTCCCTCTGATCCAGCTGATGTTGATGATGGTGATGCTGATTATGATTATGATTATGATGATGATGATGATGATGATGATGATGATGATGATGATGATGATGATGATGATGATGATGGTGGTGGTGATGATATGGTGGTGGTCGTGGTCGTGGTAATGGTCATGATGATGATGCTAATGACGATAATGATGATGCTAATGATGCTGATGCTGATGATGCAGATGACGACGATAATGATGCTGGTGATGTTGATGATGCTGATGCTGCTGATGACGATGCTGATATTGATGATGTTGTTGTTGATGTTGTTGATGATGATGATGATGATGATGATGATGATGCTGATGATGATGATGACCACCACCACCAACAACAACACCACCACCACTATCACCACCACCATCACCACCACCGCCACCACCTGGTAACCGATCCCCCGGCGGATTCCCCGATATCCAGCGGGGGCCGGGCGCGCGGCGGTAGGTCCGCGAGGGGGACGGCCCCGCCATGTCGAGCATGGAGACGTCAAAATTGATGCGGAGCTGCGAGTCCTGGAGGGGCCGCCCGTGCATCGCCCCATAGAGGCCTCTGGGCGGGGGCCCTCCTCGGAGGACAAACAAGGAAGGCGACATAAACGCAAACTTCCTGAGGCCCGCGCAGATTTGTTGGATCGGAGCTGTGACCTCCCTGGCGGCGCTTCCGGCGCCGCCCCAGGCGCTCTCCGCAAGCTCTCGTTCGTCACGAGCGACGGGCACATCCGCATCCCGGCGGCGGGGTGGCGCGAGGGGGCAGTCTTCTGGGAACTGGCAAGGCAGTGGCCTTCTTGATCTGAAGCGCCCCGATGCTCCCAGAGAGGCCTGTGAGAGTGCTGGAGGGCTTCTGCGAAGCCGACTGCCTTCTGTAGAAGCCCCCCGCGCCTTCTCAGAAGGCCGCCTTCCTCGCGCGAACCCCCTTTCGCGCGCCGCTAAAGCAACCACCGTGCCTTGTGCATGCTGGGGCGTGTTAGAAACTGGGGCAGCACGGGAACGGAAAGAGCGCTAGACGAGCTCGCCCGAGAGGGCTCATGGCACCGTTCGCTCTTCGGGGCCTCGGAGAAATGAACCTTTTTCACGTCACCGTTCGCCATGGAAGGCCTTGTTGTGAAGAGCTTGTTTAAGTCATCGCTCGCTATTGGGAGCCTTCGCGTTAAGAGCTCGTTGCGTCACGGGTTGCTCTTGATAGCCTTGGTGTGAAGAGTGTTGTATGTCAGCGCTCACTCTTTGGAGCCTTGGAGTTAAGAGCTGTTTGCGTAACAGTTCGCTCTTGGGAGCCATGACGTTTGAAAGCTGTTTGCGCCACCATTCGCTCGGATCAGCCTGGGCGTTCAGAACCTTCTGGCCCACTGCTTGCTCTTGGAACCCTGCGCGTTCAAAGATGTCTACGGTCTACGTCAACGACTCGCGTGCAAAGGGTTTTTTTCAAGTCATCTGGTGCCATTGGGGGCCTCGGCGTCTTCGGCCCACATCAGGGCCTCCTACGGCACTCTTGGGACTCTCTTGAGGGCCTCTTGGGGCCCTGCAGGGCCCTTCTGAAGCCGTGTTGCGGCTCACTGTGGCCGTCTTGGGGCCATCGTGGGCCGTCTTGGGGCTCTCTTGGGAGCTTCTGGGGCCATCGTGGAACAGCCTCGGAGGCCCTCCGAACCATATTCCACCCATCTGGCCCCCAAGAGCCGACAACCCAAAGAGGGCGTGCCACTGGATGGCCCCAGGGGGGAGGGTTGGGACCCCCCACCCCCCTCCCCGATCCGTAGTCGGAAACCCCCTTTCCCGGTCCGTCGTCGGGGAACCCCACCCCCCTCCCCCCTTTCCCGGTCCGTCGTCGGGGAACCCCCCTCCTTCAAAAGGGGGGGGCGGTCCGACCCCCCTCCCCCTCCTTTTTTTTGGTCGCCAAATTCGCCCCCATCCCCCCCCTCTGCCTCCTTCGCCACGGCGCCCACTGGCTTAGGAGCCCGACCCCTACCACCCCTAACACTACCACCCCGACCACCCGTAACCCAAACCCCAAACCCTAACCCAAGCCCCAAGCAGTACCCAGTACTCAGTATTCACTACTCACTACCCACTCCTCACTACTCGCTACTCACTTCTCACTACTCACTACTCACGGCTCACTGCTCACTACCCACTACGCACCACCCACTAACCACTACTCACCACTCACTACTCACTACTCACTACTCCCACCTCACTCCTCAATACTCACTATTCACTACCCACTACCCAACAGTCACTACTCACTAAACACTACTCACTATCCACTACTCACTACCCATTTATCACTACCCACTGCCCGCTAACCACTATCCACTACTCACTAATGTCTGCCCACAACTCACTACTCACTTCTCACTGCCCACAAATCACTACTCACTATCCGCTGCTCGCTACTCCCTACTCCTTACATAGTAGTAGTCACTGCTCACTACTCACTACTCACTACTCGCTTCTCCCTACTCGCTACCCTATACACAATTCTCACTACCCACTGGGCACTACCAACTACTCACTACTCCCTACCCCCTACTCGCTAGTCACTAGTCACTACGAACTACTCACTACTCAGTACTCACAACTCACTACGCACGACTCACTACTCTCTACTCGCTATTCCTACGCACTACCCACCTATCACTACTCACTTCTCGCTACTCACGAATCACGCTTCCTACTCACTACTCACTAATCGCTACTCGCTACGCCCTGCTCGCTACTCACTACTCCCTGTGCTCACTACTCACTACTGACTACTCCCTCCTCACTACTCACAATGCCCTACTCGCTACTCCCTATTCACTACTCGCTACTCTCTACTCGCCACTCACTACTCACTACCCACTCCCCACTAACTCAGTACTCACTACTCACTACTCACTACTCGCCACTCACTACTCCCTACTCACTACTGACTACTGACTACTCCCTCCTCATTACACACTACTCACAATGCCCTACTCGCTACTCACTACTCACTACTCGCAACTCCCTACTCGCTTCTACTGCTCACACTACCCACTCCCCACTACCTACTACTCACTACTCACTACTCACTGCGCACCACTCCCTACTCACTACTCACTCCCCGCTACTCGCTACTATCTACTCACTACTCACTATACACTACTCACTACTCACTAGTCTCCACTCACTACTCACTACTCACTATCCCGAGGCCGGACCCCCCCCCTTGCGGGAGAGGCTCCTCCCCGGCCCCCTGTTCGGCGCAAAGGGGGGGAGGGGGGAGGGGGGCGAACCCCCCCGTCCCCCCCTCCAACGCCAAGGGGGGGAGGGGGAGGGAGGGGTCCGCACCCCCCCCCTTCCCTTCGAGGGGGGGGGGAAGGGATGAAAATCTCACCCCCCCTGTGAAAGGGGAGAGGGGGGGGTTCTGCGAGCCCCCCCCCTTTTCAATTACAGGGTCATCCCGTGGCGCGCTTTCCCAAAAGACAATGGAAACCTTAAGGAAAATCAGCGTTTATGGCCTCCCAAGACGGCGCCCGTCCGTGTCGTGGCCGGCCCATCTTCCTCGTCGTTGTCGTCTTGGCCGTCGTCGCCGTTTTGCCGTTTCGCCGTCGTCGTCGTCGGCGGCGTCCTGGTTGCTGTCCAACACGACGTCCGTCCGGGGCTTGGCCGTCACGAACGCGCTCACCTGCCGCGGGGCTCCGAACCACGCGCCGGGGAGCGCGCGGCGCGCGACGGGAATGGATAAGCCGAGCGGGCATCCGCCAACGCCACGGCGCGACGGCGCGCCCCGTGCGGGCGCGCCCGACCTCCCCCACTTCCGCGCTCCTCTGACCTGCCTGAGGGGCGATGGCGACCCTCGCCGGGCGTGCCCGCGGCCCGCCGCGAGGGGTAGAGCACAGCAGCGGCACGGACCACCGCCCGCATTTCCCTGGTTGCCGATATGACGGGAGGAAAGCCGAGGACGGCCCCGCCAAGAGGCAGCACGCCGGCACCAAAAGGCGCCAGTTGAGATGAAGGCGCGAACTGACAGCTGACCAGGAGAAAGGAGAGGTAAGAGAGGGTGAAGAAACAAAAGTCAAGGGGAGCAGCAGGCGGGAACACGGGGCGGGGAGGCGAGGATGGAGGGACACACGCCTAAGACACATAAGTCGATCGCCTGCTTCCTCACTTCTCCGTCCAGCACCTGAAAGCACTAGGGGAAAACAAACTCCAAGGAGAGCTGCCACAACCGCGCCGAACAGCCGCCGCCCGCCCCAGGTGGGCCTCGCAGAAGAACAACACCGAGCATGTCACGACCGCCACCAACGTCATGAACGCCCCGGTGCCCGTCGCCTCCGGGCGATCCTCGGTCCTCGGTCCTCCTCCTCCTCCTCCTCCCCTTCTTCCTGAACCTCCTCCTCCTGGTCGTTTCTTCTCCTTCCCAAGTGATTCCTCTTCTTCCTCGTCCCACGACGCCCCACCTTATTTTGCTCTTCGGCTCGGGTCAATACGAGCACCGAAATCCTACCACGACGTTTGATTTTCCCTCCTGGCAGCGCTCTGCCGGGATAACCTCGATAGGTCTCTACATCCCCCAATCGTGGAAACGAAATATATGTTCGGCGACCTCGTTGACGGAATGCGGAACGTAGTCATATTTCCGCGGCGCCCGCCGCGCAACAACGACAACGACGACGAGATGAACGAAGAGATTGTGAGCAACGCCTTCGGCCAAGAATGTGTAGATCTATCTTGCAATCCTCCTACTCACGTGGTTAGAACTCGTCTGTCGCGCAGGGTAACCCAAGAAACATTATTCCCTGGGAGACAGAACCCCCGAACATTATCCAGCCCTCCGAGCAATAGAGGTAGCATAGTCTCCGCCGCGACAACGACGATTACGGCTACGACTACGACTGTGCCTTCAATTGCCACTACAACCAGAACTACGATTACGACTACAATCTCGACTACAATCACTATCACAAGCACGATTACAACCACGACTACAAATATGATTACAACTTCAACCGCCGAGAATCCCTATTGCAATCCTCAAGGAAATGTTCCCACACATCCATGTATGTATAGAGTAGCCCACAATGGATAATTCCCTAGGGGAAGTACCCCAAACATTATCCAGCCCGCCCAACAATAGAGGGACAATTATCTCAGCCGTGACGACGACGAATACGATGACGACCGCGAGGAGGAGCAGGCGGAGGAGCAGGAGGATGACGAGAAGGAGGAGGAGGAGGAGGAGAGGAGGAGGAGGGGGGGAGGAAGAGCAGGCGGAGGAGGAGAGGCAAGTTTGTTCCCCGCCGAAGGAAGCAGTGGGGGGGTGCAAAACGAAAGACCTCCTGAGGTTACTCAAAATCGCCATGGCGGCCTATTGGATAGAAGGCGGTAGTCAAAGTCTGACCATCAGTAGCTGCCACCGTTGACGCCAGGAGACAGGAAGGATGAGATTAGGATCGTGGTCATCGTATCTGGTACCCGCAGGATGCTTTTGCCTGCAGACTGGTGCAGCCAGGCAGCGCGGGCCAGACTTAGCCAAGAAGGACGGATGGCGTTCCTGGCCTCCGCGTTCCCCTCTCCCGCCACTTCCCAACACGGGTAAGAAAACCCACGCTTTAGGCGAATGTTAGCCAGGGCCTGCATGCCAGCGAACCTTCACAAGCTGCGCAGGCCCAGCTCGATCACAGGCCCCTTTTCGATCGAGCCTTTTGTCAGGCCGTTCCCGCCCGCGTCCAGGGTGACACGGTGTCAACCCTCGCCTGCGCATGCATGTGCGAGACGTAGGCGCAGCCAGGCGGCATCGTTGTCCTGATCATCAAGTGTTTGTACTGGCTCGATGGTCGCAAAGTCGAAACAATGCTGCTTATGCGCTTATGCGTCCATGTATCGAACGTATTTTGGGGCCCTGCTCGCGCATCGCGCCAACGCGCTCAAAACTGTCGCTCGGCTTCTTGAGCCCGCCGAGCTCCTGCCCCCGCGCGCTCAGCACCTTCCCCCGGAGAACCTCGTCGTCGCCGCCGCCGCCGTTCAGGTCGTCGACGTGCGCCGTCCATGGCCATTTCGGGCCCCATCATGCCGACGTCCACCTGGATCATGAGGAACGGCTGCTCGTCCATGGCGTCCCACTCGCGAAGCTCGAGGCCGTAGTAGTCGACGTCGGACTCTTTGGCCGTCCACGGCGTACAATGGTTCGATGTCGCTCGCGCGGTCATCGAAGTTTTGCTCGACCGTCTGCGATTTGCGCTTCACTTCTCTTCGTGGGTTCGCTGCTCGTCGCTCGGTCTTTGTCTCGCACCGTCTGCTGCGCGGGGCTGCGGGGCGTCAGCGGATCCAGGTGGCCACCCAAGCTCTCCGCGTGATCTGCCCACGTCGCCGTCGCCAGTCTGGTCGTGATCCCGTGTCGCGTCGGAAATAGCCGATGGCCGCCTAACCTGCCGAGGCTCCAGCCGCCGGCTCCATGGTTGCGACGGCAGACCCATGATCCTGCTCGGCGCCTCCAGCGCAAAAAGGCAAGGCCGCCCCGCAACGTTGAGACCAAAGCCAAAACTACTCGCTCAGGACAATCAAACCGGTTTGCTGCGTCGACGAACTCCCTGTCGCTGACGATCCGAGTGGATGCTGCGACGGGCCAGCCTCGAGCGTCGACACTAAGGCCGCGCCATCATATCGGCCCATCACGCCATGGAACATGATTGATGGGCTGGGCCATCTCGGCAACGCGCGAGGCGTTCGAGTGGGCGTCCGCCTCGAGGACGCCGTCACGATGAGCTGCAGCTTGGGCCCGCGCGGTCCTGACCTCGTACTCCTTCTCCAATCGTCCCGAATTTCTCTTGCAGTCACAGGTCTCGCCGAGCAAGTCCAAGCCAGCTCTGGCTGGTGAGCGCGAGACACTTGCGTTCAACGACCCGCCCGTCCGAGGACCCTGTAAATGGCGCGCGCGCGCGAGCAACAACAAAATGACATATGTTCAGCGCTCGCTGTCGTAGTCGTTGGTGGTCACCGAGCACCTGACGCTGTCGCCAGTCTGCCCTCGCCGTCGCGATCCCCACCGCTCCGCAGTTGTGCCGAGGCGCGCGCAGTCAGTTCAGTGCCTCTGCCGATCGCCCTCGTCGGGCGGGCGGCCGCTCGCGCTGCTAAGGCCCTTCTGCTCGTGACAGGCCCCGCGCCCTCCGCCGCGGTGGCGAGAATCATCGGGCGTCTCGGCGTGGCCGCGGTGCCCGTCGCGTCTCGGTGGCGGCCTCCTCGAAACGGTTGCGCGGCAGCATGAAGTGTCCAGCGCGGCTTTCCTCCAGATGGTAACTCTTGGCGAGAGCTGCAGCGCGCGTCCGCCCGGGCCTGAGGGAAACTGGTCATGGATCAGAAGGCTTTTCCCCAGGACAAACTCGTCATCCTGAACCTTTGTTCTGATTGGCACTCCCAAGGCCCGAAGGGCCCCTGGGAACCAGACAACGATGGGAAACTTGAGGGCCCGTTTCGCCTCCTTGCCTCCTCCCACTGACGCAACGCCCGCGCCAAGCCTCGGCCAGGTCCGCCGGCACGGTGCGGAACGCGTCGATGCTGGCGGCCCACCTCGGCCGCGGTCGGCGCCGCCGCCGGCTGATCGGGGGCGTGCAAGGTGGGGGGGGCATGCAAGGAGGGGGGGGGCGCATCAAATCATGGCCCGAGGCATGTGCGCGGACGAGGGCGGGCTAAGCAAGGGAGGGTTAGAGGGGAGGGCATGAGATCTGGAAAACATCATGGCCCCTGCCATGATATCCGCACACCCCTAGCCCACACACCCCTCTCGCACGCCCTCTGCTCGGTCACGGTCGGACTCGCCGTCTTCGTCCAAGACGAAACGAAGATCATCAGAAAATCGGACTCGGACCAATCGGGGATCTCTGAGATCCAGCGGTTCTGGAGGAAGTATCGAGTGCCGCGGCCATTCCAGGGCGCTCTGGAATGCTCTGATAGCGTTGCGGAACACCCCTGGGCGATTTATGCCAGTCCTGGGGCCGCCCGATCGTCGGGGCCATGCCGCCGGCGCCGTCGGAGTCGTCGCCAAGGCGTGTGATCATCGCCGTCGTCGAAGTCTTCGCCGAAGGCGTCGTCGTCGTCGTCGTTGTCGTCGACGGTGGATTGACATTCCAGGATCGGGACGGACATGATCTGGATTCTCTTGAGGACTCATCACCCTTCTTGCTGGGGCCTTCAGCGCCATCGCCGCCGCTATCGTCGGATTCGTCGTCTCGGGGCAGACGAACAAGGGAATAGCACGAGGCGTCACAAACCATCCGCACGCAGCCAGTTTTCCTGGCGCCTCTAAGCATCGCGTGCGACCTATGTTCGAAGGAATGCTCCCGGCGGCGGGTGCGAAACCAGCTGTGCGCAACAGATTTGGTACACCGTTCGCATGGCCCGATCGATGAAGGTGCCGTCGCCGTCGTCGAAATCGTCCTCGCCGCCGCTGGTCGAAATTCCAAGGTTTCTGGGAGTTGTCCGTATTTTGTTCGAACCCAAGGGGCCTTGACAAGAAGCATCACTCCACACACATCCTGCCATGCTGCCGCCGTCGCCGCCGCGGACAACGTCCGGATGCCTTCGACGGAGGAATCCGAAGTCTGCCCAGACGTTCCTACCCAGAGGGCGAATGAGAGTCGAAAGCCCCCAAAGCCTCGATGCCGCCGTCGTCGCCGCCTGTGCCAACGCCACAACCGTCGCCGCCGCCCCCGTCGTCGTCGCTGCTTCTTGTCAAAATCGACCCCTGGACAGTTGACCGCTGTCATCGTTGTCCCCGCCGCCGCCGTTCGCCACCACCGTCGCCCCTGCTGCTCGCCGCCGCTGTCGCGGCCGCCGCCGCCATCCGCCGCCGCCTCCCGCCGCCGTTCGCAACCGGCCCCTGGCGGCGGGCCCGCGCGAGGCCGCCTGGGAGGCGCCATGGGGCGAAGGGCCCGCGCCTCGGCGGGGCCCGCCAGGGCGGCTGCTCCGCCCTGGCGCGTCGCCGTCGTGCGACGCCGCCGCCGTGCGGTGTCGGTTCGGTTGATCGTTGGTCGTTGGTCGTTGGTCGTTGGTCGTCGGTCGACGTCGTCGTCGTCGTCATCGTCGTCGTCGTCGTCGTCGTCGTCGTTGTCGTCCTCGTGGTCGTTGGTCGTCCGTCGTCGCCGCCCTGCGTCGTCGCCGTCGAAATACGTCGCTGTTCGAATCTGTCGCGGGCGGTTGGTCTGCAAGAGTGTTTCTGTTTCACGACGTATGGTTGGGCACACACACACACACACACTCGGTCTGGCACTTGATCCACCAACTCCTTCTAAGTGTAAGAATTTCGCTACTGACTCTGTGTGAAGCAATTCTCGGTCACTTCCTCTCTCGACGGCTTTCGTCCAAATTGATGAGCCCTCGTGACGGCCTCAATCCAATGTGATGGATACTTACCCTTAACAACGGGCCTCCAGGTCAACGAAATCCCTTGACTGCCTTCCTCTGAATTGATAAAGAAAATCATCCCCCCCCGCCCTGGAGCGACAGAACCCCCCCCCCTGAAGCGGCAGAGCCCCCCCTGAGGCGGCAGACCCCCCCCCCCATCCAAAGCGGCAGAACCCCCCCCTGGAGCGGCAGAACCCCCCCTGGGGCGGCAAAAACCCTCCCGCACCTGCCAGGAGGTGATTTCTGTAGCACAGGATTGATTTTTGTTTTAAACATATAATTCCTGATAAATTCGCAGCGAAAATCATAATTTTCAATCAAAAATTACAATTGTCTACAAAAATGCTGCGAAATTCTGATTTTCATTAGAAATTGTACGTGTTGGGTCTCATTCCTCCCCGCCAGCCGACACGTGCAAATAGCATCTGCCAATTTGTGTGAGGCCACAGCGGGCAGTTTGCACCGAGACGCAAGCTTGCGCATCTCACTTTGCATGTACCTTGTGTGTCTTAACATATCCTGAGGGGGATGGTGCCTCTCGCGACGTGGTTTCGCCGATATATATATATATATATATATATATGTATATATATACATAAACATATACATATATATGTATACACATATATATATGCAACTATTATGACTAGATGGTTTTGAACCAACACGACTGCGTAGCGAACCCGCCCCTCACAATCTCTCTCAGTTCCTTACCAAGGGTTATGTCGAATGCACTGCTACACTCCTCCTCGGCCAGACGCCCTCGCGCCGCCGCCGAACAGCAGGCATTGAAACGCAAGCAGGCGCCCTCGCGCCTTCACGTCTTTCCTCAGCCGAACCTCCGGCCCAAGTCGTAACTAAACCGCTGCCCTCAGGGACAGCTCACTTCTACCCTCTTGAATCACAAACCCGCACTTGTCCATGAAGAAATCGATCTTGTCGCCGCTCAAGTGCTTCGTCATCAGGTCGGCAGTATTGAGCTCGCCTGGAACCTTATTCAACTTCGCAAACTTCTCGTGGTAGATAGCTTGAACCCATAGATACTGTGTATGTAAGTGCCGCACCTTCCCGGCACCAAGCCTGAGCGCCATGCCACGCCCGGCTGTCGCATCCGTCTCGACGACTAGGCCTTTCGTCATGCCGTAGTCCTTGCACATGCTTTGAGCGCCAAGTCCCACGCTCGCCCCTCGAACAATCGCATGAAAACTCCGACTCGCCACTCGATAAGGCAATCACAGACTGAGTGTTGGCGGTCGCCTTGAGCAGATGAACTCCATGATAAAGTGCAACTCCAGTAGTGCTCCTCCTCGTCAGTACGCATCCTGCATGGTCTGAGTCGCAGGCTACCGTGATCTCGTCCGGCTCGTCCTGCTGGATGAACCGCTGTACGATTCTCGGCCGGCGTAGCAAGTAGCGTCCGATCCTCTTCACCATCTCCATGGCCACCTCGGTCGGCTTGCTCATCCACCTGGCCGCTTCCTTCGCCGCGTAGAGCAGTTCGATCCTGTCCATCGCGAGGTAGTTGATGCGCATGCAGACGCTCCTGTATAGCGCCGCCTCTGCAGTACCAAGCGAAGGAGATTCAAGCAGCTCCTCCGCTGTCCTCTTGATGCCTGGCGATGTCACCGCCTTGCTGCCCTCGTCGAGTCCGAGCTTCAGCTGGCTCGTGACGATCTCGACGTGACGGGCGTCAGCTTCCCACTCCAAACACGGAACGCCAGCCTCGGTCTTGTTTAGCCTGACGGTCCTGTTGAGCAGCGTGATCTCCCGCAGGTCGCCGTCACCCCAACCAAGAACTCCTCGCGCCTTCACAAGCAATCGCTTGGATAGCTCGGTCTTGAACCACTCCAGAGCGTCATCATCGCCCTCGCTCACGAAGTCGTCCCCGTGGTAGAACAACAATGCGTTCCTCTCGTCGCGCCTGCACGGGCACGGGCAGAATACGCCGATCTTGAAACCCATCTCTCGCAGCACCTCCATCACCTAATCAGCGAAGTTGGCCGCTGCGTCCCTCGTACCGCACATGCTCTTGAGCAGCAGCGCGCAATATCCTTCTCGGCGCCGTTCAGGAGGTAGCTGAACAATCACTCGTCGCCGAGCGGGACTGTGGAAGTGCGCCCTCCGGATATCGATGAACATCAACTTGCGCCTCCGGCAGTCGCCCCGCTTTCGGCTCATCATCTTGCTGGACAGCATCTTGGCACCCTCCTGCGGCGGGGTCGCCGAGAACACATCATCCCGGAAGATCCCAGCCCTCTGCTGCGCGCTCTTCAGCTCCTTTGCAACCAGCCTGCACCGCATCTCCGGGCGCTCCGCATCGCCCTTGTTGACGTCTACCCACTTGACTGGGATGGGCTTCGCCCTGGTCTCCCCCCAACAGAGAGACTCCGGGGCCTCCTGGAGCACCTCCATGTCGTCCATGTACTTGATCTCCTCCTCCCGGCCGGCCCGCACCATCTTCGCGTCCAGCAGCTGGCCCGAGATATTGTCACGGAACTCCTCGTACTCCTCCATGTCCCAATTCACGGCGTCCTCCTCGCAGGTGACGCCCACGGTGAACGCGCTCAGGTCACCGTTGACCCTCAGCTGAGCCGTCAGACCCCTGAGGGTTGCCGCCACTAGGGCAGGCGGGTAGTTCCGCGCCGGTCGCGTCCTCGCACTGCCAACCAGCGGTACATGAGCATGCCGCTGGCTCCTGGGCAGACTCTCGTTCTCGCACCGACGGGATACTTCAGCCAAAATACAGGGTGAGTTGCTCAGCCAGCCGGTGGGCTTGAGGACCAGCCAGCCCCATCTCGCCATCGTAGTCGACCGTCTGCTGGCCGAAGCAGCATTGGTGCCCCGTCACGCGTGAGACACCCTCCATCTCCATCAGCTCGACCATGAAGTCTAGCTTCCAACTCCAAGCTTGACCAGGATGCTCGTGCAGGAAGTAGCGTCCTTCTCGCACTTGCTTCTTGTACTGCCTCACGCAGAATCGAAGGTACCTGATGCCCTCGATGACCTTCCGCTCGTACTCCTCCGGGTCGCGGTTCTTGTTCAGGTTCATGATGGCGCTGAACGCCCTGCACATCGGCGACCCAATCAGGACGCACGGCCTCTCATGGTCGATGATCTTCTCGCACAGCACCTGTCGGTCGGGATCCGACAGATCCCACTGCACTCCGTTCTCGCCCTTCAGGCACAGGTCGAACGCGTGCCCCGGGTTGAGGCCAAACGACTCCGCCCTGCTGGTGAACTTGCCCGGCCCGAACAGCTCCGACGCGTGCACGCCGCAGAAGCCCAGATCCTTCACGAGGTCCTCGACCTCCCCCAGCAGGTTGGCGGCCATGGTCTGCTCCACGCCTTGCGGCCCTCGGCTATCAGCTAGCCGCTTCAAGGTCGTCCTCGAGCTCTCGTCCATCGCCTCCTGCGGTCCTGGGGTCACCTGGGTCTCGGCCTGCCTCTTCGCGCCCGAGCCTGAGCCCCTGGTGGCGATTTCTCCTCCGAGCGCAGCGTGGACCAGCGCGCTCGATACTGAAATATATTGACCATGCTTAGCAGGTTGAGCTTGCCCAGCTGCCGCCCCTGCTGCGGCCTGTCTAGCAGCCGAGGATGGCGCACTGACGCTGCCTCCTCCGGTTGCCTCCTCCACGTCGACCGCCTGCTTCTCAGCCGGTCTCTTGATTCCTCGCCGTTCCTCGGCCATCCTTACTCGCTTCCTCATCTCGAAGTCATCCTCCATGAGCTTCGTGATCCTTGCCCTGCAAGCCTCACTGTGGCTGCGAGCTGGGAAGCCCAGGGCGTAACTCTCGCATCCGGTGCACCCCTCGGTCTTCCCGAACTTCTTGATCTCCACCTCGTTGCGGATGCACACTCGCCTCGGTCCAGGAACTCCCCCCGCGCCCGTCCCCGGCCGCAGTGCCCGCGGCTCAACTGGTAGGAGGCGCCTCGTCGGACGCCTTCGCGATCGGGAATCGCGCCGCCGGCGCGTCCTCCCCGTCCTTGGTCACACCTGGCACTGGCCGCCATGGTGTGCCCTGCACCTTCTTCAGCAGCTCGCCATTGCAGCGGTCGTCTCCGGCCTTCCGCTTGACGGCCCTGGCCCTGACCACTCCCGACTCCAAGCCGATGTACAGCTCCTGGCTCTTCAGCTGCACGCCCAGGTAGATGCCTGTCAACCACTTGGCGTCCAGCTTGTTCTTGTGGCCCCTGTTCCTGTCCGCCGGCAGGTAGTGCACCGCCTCAGCGAACGGCGGGAGCTCCTTGCGGCACCTCTTCCCGCGGATCCTCTCGCACGCCGTGCGCCCGTCCGCCCCGACGTCGAACAGGCTGATCACCGCGCCTGCGTAGTTGATGAGCCACGGCGCGATTGCATGGTCGTGGCCGATCCTGATCCCATACTGGCGCTCCACCGCCAGCTTCAGGGTCCGCGCGATACCGCTCACGGACTGCACCGCCCGCTCGATCGCGCCGTTAACCTGGTGCTCCTCCACCGGGCTCTCCTCCTTCACGATCTTGAAGGTTTCACCCAGCG